TTAGATTAGTCACTTCAACTAACTCATATGTTTATCGTTGATATGAACTTTTGAAAATTATTTCAAATTACGATTTTGTTTAAACAGTGTTTTATTTTTACTTCAAAATATATTGAATTGAAAGGTATCCCAGGCTTAGCATTTACAAGCCCCCTCCAAGAGAGAAAAAACAACGTATATACAAACATAATCACAATACAAAAACTTATTTCATTATCATAACTATCTCACAACTGAATCATTTAATTAATTAACATAGTGTTGCTCATTTACCAAACTGACGGCACGAATTATTCAAAATGCCGACACATAGATAGATGGGCGCTTAATGTACAGCGGCAACTATTACATGAATATGAAGACTGAAAATAATGTTGATGTTATTTGTTTATAAAGTACTAATGTATTCAGCTTTTACAAGACCAGCACGCTGAGTTGGAGAATAAAGTTCTATCTTTGAAATTATCCTGGCTCCAAGCTACTAATATTTGATTTTACTCTTACATTCAGCGTGTATAGAGGGTAGCAGTGTAAAATAGATATCATCAACCTCCTACTTTCGAGGCTAGCACAACGTTCATTGCGAAACCATGGACTCAGTAATCCTACCGTACCAATACTTAGAACTGAAATCAATGATATAAGGCAAGGCTCCGTGTTGAAGACTGTACTTTGACCTATAATGGTTTACTTTTATAAATTTTGACTTGGATGGAGAGTTGACTCATTTTCATTCATACTACATCTTCTTATATCTAATATATGATCGTCATGCAATCGATAAAAAATGAAAACAACACGTTGAAAATAGCATGAGTCCGAAGCGCATTTTTGGATTTACCTTCATCAGGAACGCTCAAAAGCCGAATATTTGAAGGCCATTATTTATGAGAACTGAAATAGTTGATTAAAAGTTAAAGACAAGTTGCTTTAAAAAAAAAAAAGACAATACGTGAACCTTAGAACTTTTTTATTCTAATTATTAATTCAACTGAATAAGAAATTATATATCAGTGTTTGTATGGGATAATATTTTCTTTTTATTGTAAATCATTACAATTTTGGCATGTTGAGAGAAGTGTTAAATATAAAGCAATGAGGAAAAAAAATAGATTCCCCATGTTCCCAGACGTATAATTTCTTAAAAAATAATAATGATTCAAAACATGGGGGACACATGTACCTTCTTCCAAAAGTTCATAAAACTAATCAAGAAATAAGTAATGAGGCATTGCGAACTGGTCAGCTAGCAGGACACATTAATGTTCGTTACCGACCAATCATCAATAAATGCAACTCTCCCGCGAGAGATACTTACTTGATATAATTATAAAACCATTATTGAAGAGGCATAACTTTTACATACAAGATAAAAAGATTCCATTAATAAAATAGAGTCACACGAGGTAAAAAAAGAATGCATTCTTATTGCCTATGATTGGCTATGATATACGTCAAGGTACAAAAATATGATCATTGATAATTTAGAAGAAACTGTTATCTATGCATTAGAATTAATTGACACACACAGGAATATATACTTTAAAGATTCTCAACAAAATAGGTTCTTTTTTCCTAAATATTTACGATTTTATTCCTTGGCTTCTTTTTTTCAGAGTGTTTTTTTCCGTGCAACGTTTTTTCGATTTGTTATTTCACGTGTTTCCGTGTTCAGACCCTCCCCTTTTTTTTACCACCCTCTATTTAGATACCGAAGTGTACAAAGGTGATCGATTCCATAGTAATGGAATTCTTGATGTTAAGTCACACGTATATTAAAAACACAGAAACGTATCAAATTTTACCAATCACTAGTGCACATCCAAAACACACATACATTTAAGAGTATTAATTTACAGTGTGTGAATAATATAAGAAATAATAGTTACATCAATGAATTAAATAAACATTTAATTAGCTTACAAGATAACTTAATTGATAGAGAATACTGTAAAAAGGAAACAGTAAAAGTTGTAAAAAATGTATATTAACGAATAGTGTTTTAATATTTTACTTGTTTTATTTTCAGTTGAAATCTGAATTGTCAAAATGACAAGTATGCATAATGATTTTATTGTTACAAATCAAATCCCAAAGCCCACTATAACTCATAATGTAGAAGCCACAGCACTATTTTTAAATATCTCTCTGTGAATATCTAGACACAGATGTTTGATACCATATGCAGAGTTCGTTATAATTAAATCTTGACCATTTATCTTTCACTTGTTTATCAAAGGGTACAACTGTCAACTTTGCTCAAGTCAGTAAACCCTTGCAATGCATAAAATGTAGCTTTACAATAAATACACATGTTTGAAAAGGATCTATAGATTGTTTATTATCATATATCAGATAAGTGAATTAGCGATATGTGAAAATTCTTTATTGTCATGTTTTAAATATCTTAGATACCCCGTATGGAGGTGCTCTTAATTGCAGGAAGCTAATACAGATAAGATGAATAGGTGTTCCGAATGAACAATAATTTAACTTCCGAATATTCCTCCATAGACTATATTTCTAACTAATTTATATAAGTGAACCATCAGGGGTTCACGCAATGATCGTTCTAAATGTACGTTCAATAATTTCATCTGCCGACATGATTGCAGATAATAAAAAGTCGTAAACCAAAACAAAAAAATCTTAAAACAAAGATGAGGGAATACACGTATATTGAACCATTTTATTGCTTAACTTACAGAAGAAAATATAATTATACATACTCAAATCTGCCATACTATTTTGCTTACTGGGAGTTGATCAGTTTTCACTGTTACTCTTAAATGATGGGCGCGTGGAAAACCAAATAGTTCTGAATTAATCATTTGAAAGGCTAAGCTTATGTTAGAGTATTTTTGTCAAAAATAAATCTGTTTGATGCAGGTTTCAATAGGTTTAAAAAATGTGTTGTTTTTTTTTCAATAGATGCAAAACCTTAAAAATTTCAGGATACTGTTATTTCATGTGATGTCCAATTTGGTTAGAGAAAAACGACTTCTTTTTTAAATTATTTTTTTTTTGCAATTAAAAATGTTTTGATACATTTCGTGCTTTTTTATTCCTAACTAAGAATGATCATAATTAGAGCTGTGTTTCTTGTTTTAAAATTAATCCTCCGCTTTTGAGAAATATTTATTTTGCTATTAAATTTTTCACCGCTTACAACTGTCTGCCTCTTGTTTTATTTTATACATTATGTTTTTCACCGCTTACAACTGTCTGCCTCTTGTTTTATGCTATTCATTATCTTTTAAGTAACAGTAACTGTTCATTTCATTTTGTTTCGTTTCTTTTTGTTTCGTTCGTTTCGTTCCGCTTTCTTCCGTTTCGCACTTTACAGGTACCCCTCTTTTCACCCGTTTTCTATTTTGATACCTTAATCAAAAATCAAACTTTCAAAAATCGAAATAATCAAAACTACAAATTAAGTTTATTACTTTTAAAGTTTGATCAAATATCTAAACTATCAAAGTTTAAAATGATTTTTAGAGTTTTAAAATTTTAATTATTTGTTGAAAATTTTTAAGTTTCAAAAAATTTAAAAAATTTGGAATTTTGGTATTTTAAAACTTTGTTCAAAATTCCAAAAAACTAAAATTTAAAAACTTTTTAAAACTTTGAATTGATAAGTGTTACACGGACCGAATCCAATCCTTTTCAACTGATTTTTATAAGTTACTCTTATGTTGCACACGTGTACGGCTGTTCTAGATTACTGAGAGAATTGGGACACCGCAACATGTTTAACCCCGCCACATTCTGTGCATGCCTGTCCCAAGTCATGAGCCTGTAATCCAATGGTTGCCTTTTGTTCTTTTGCCAATGCCAATGAAAAGCAACCAGGAAGAGCAAAATTATCTGCGCGTAATGAATACCATCTGTAACTAAATTTTTCGTTTGCTGTTTTGAACGTAAATCAGGCCACATGTTATCTTTATTCAATTGTTTTACATGTTTTCTTGTCGTGGCCTTTTATAGCTTGCAATGCGGTATGGGTTTTGTTCATTGTTGAAGAACGTACGATGATCAGTAGTTGGTAACAAATCAGTCATTTGGTCTCGGGTGGATTGTTGTCTCATTGACAATCATACAAAATCTCTTAGTTGTATTTCAATTGCCTCAAGTTCAGACCAAAGCATTTAGATTAACTTATAAAACATTCATGTGACGTGACTTTGCTCTCACAGTAATAGTCTATTTACAAATTGTATCCCTTAAGGAGATATAACTTTTCATTGCCATTGAAAAGCAACCAGGACGAGCAAAATTACCTGCGCGTAATGAATGCCATCTGTAACATTTTTTCAATCTTTTGATTTCATTTAATCTTTTGTTAAGTTAAAAAAAATGATATCAATAGTTATATTTTACTAAAAATTGCTTGAAACGCTTATTTATCACTTTCAGCTTATTGGTATCATGATTTACATAGGCAGAGGCCCGTTTTGTCCCGTTTAGAAACAGTCTAGAAAAGCAAAGGAAAACCACTTGTGATACAATTGTGTAATAAAATAACCCAATCGTTAATTTGAAAATAAACTATTGCATGCAGAACACGAAAAAAAAACTTAATAAAAAGTGAATAATTTTATTCACTGACGCTTCACTGAACAATAGTACTCAATTTTCAATTCATGTTTGAACAGTTCAGATAGGTATTATAGTGATTTGTCTATTTCACTGAAAGTCCAATGCCGAATGGTATAGTCTTAGAGATCATAAACTTAGATAGATCAACAGTCTTTGTGATGTGAGTAAAACGGGCTACGTAAACTACACATGGTAATTTAGTGTACTCCTAAAAGCGTGGGGGCACCTGTTAATTTGGTGTACGCCTGACAGCGGTGGGGCACCTGTTAATTTAATGCACGCATGAAATCGTGGGGAACCTGTTCCGCTGCACATAATATATCCAGAAAAAAAGTATCATAAAAGATAATCAACAATTAAAATTTTAACAGCAACATATATAATTTGACAAAATCAGTACTCACCCATGTGCGAACACCATGCTGATATTGCATAGAATTTTCCTTCGTCACAAAATAAGGCTATGTCGTATTTCTTTCCAGATTGAGCGTGCACGTGATGACATTTTTTCTTGTTCAGTTCCTTAACTTCTCCAATATACCGCCATTTATTTTCTTCATCTACTTCCGGTTTTGGAACATCTCTAGGTTCTGCCATGATTATGTTGATAAAAAGAGTATTTAAAAAAAGTACTTTAAATATTATGTATTCAATATTTTTATAACGTTTTCATCGGTTCTTTGTCTATTCAACCAATGATTTTTCAATGAAATCGTGTTCTCTTTTTTCAATAATTGCTGCTACAAGTACTAGTTTGATAGCGTTAACGAGCAATATGCGAGGAAACCATTGTTTATATTTAACAAGAAACGATCAATACGCAAGGCGTATCTATAGTGATGTTTACGGTAACTATAGAGATGTAATTAAACTATAACAAATGATGACTTATATCAATGTCACGTCTACTATTGATTTAGATCGTAAAAAAAGTCTAATTTCTCAATGATTTTATTATGTATTTTTCAAACCGGTTTGATTCGTCTGATTACGCATGTTTATGCAATATTAATAGTTATCTTACTGAGTTAAGTTAAAAAAAATGGATTTTCCATCGTTGTTATATTCCGTTGTTTTTGTTTTATGATTGGTGTATTAGTGTACTCGAAGTGTTCCCTCGTTGTTGTGTATACAGTTGGTTTTGTTTTATATTTGGTGTATTAGTGTGCTCGAAGTGTTCCATCGTTGTTGTGTATACATTTGGTTTTGTTTTATTTTTGGTGTATTAGTGTACTCGAACTGTTCCATCATTGTTGTGTATACAGTTGATTTTGTTTTATTTTTGGTGTATTAGTGTGCTCGAAGTGTTCCATCGTTGTTGTGTATACAGTTGGTTTTGTTTTATATTTGGTGTATTAGTGTACTCGAAGTGTTCCATCGTTGTTGTGTATACAGTTGATTTTGTTTTATTTTTGGTGTATTAGTGTACTCGAAGTGTTCAATCGTTGTTATATACAGTTGATTTACATTCGGTGTATTAGTGTACTTGAAGCGTTCTATCAGTGTTGTATTCAGCTGCGTTTGTTTTATTTTTTGTGTATTAGTACATGTATACTCGAAGTGTTCCATCGTTGTTGTGTATACAGTTGATTTTGTTTTATTTTTGGTGTATGAGGGTACTCGAAGTGTTCAATCGTTGTTATATACAGTTGATTTACATTCGGTGTATTAGTGTACTTGAAGCGTTCTATCAGTGTTGTGTTCAGCTGCGTTTGTTTTATTTTTTGTGTATTAGTATACTCGAAGTGTTCCATCGTTGTTGTGTATACAGTTGGTTTTGTTTTATATTTGGTGTATTAGTGTACTCGAAGTGTTCAATCGTTGTTATATACAGTTGATTTACATTCGGTGTATTAGTGTACTTGAAGCGTTATATCAGTGTTGTATTCAGCTGCGTTTGTTTTATTTTTTGTGTATTAGTGTACTCGAAGTGTTCCATCGTTGTTGTATAGAGTTGTTTTTGTCAATTGTTTTTAGTTTTTGTTTTATGTATTAGTGTACTCGAAGTTTTTGATCGTTGTTGTATTTAGTTGTTTTGTCTTAGTTTTGTATGTATTGGTGTACTCGATGTTGCAATGACTGTCGTTGGTATCTTTCTACCATAATTGTTTTTCGCTTTTCATTTTTAGCATACATCTGCTGTTATCTTTAGACATAAAACTACAAAGATGCCTAGGCAAGATGACCAATCATTACACACTTACAATGTATCATGCTTCTGTTGGACAAATATTCGCAACACTAAGGTATTTATTTTGGCACAATATTTCAAAATTTTTGGTCAATTCGTATTTGATTTGACATTCTAACTGCTTTATTTCTAGCACAACTGATGAGTCTTAAGTCATATATACGTAAACAAACTGAGCGTCTGGCTTACCAAAGTTTGAGGCTAGAATATTTGATGATTTTGTTTTGTCATTCTAGGAAGACATCGCTAACCCCAAAGATTTTCTCGGGTACAGAAACATGTGTATTTCTACCCGGGCTTCTCTTATATGGCAGTAGAACCCATATTAATGATTGGTGACTGTGTGTTCAATTTGCTACGTATTTATACATCCAGCACGTAGATAAGTGGGGTGGAAATGACGTTGAATTCGATGCCTCGTGTAGGGAGAGTGACATGCACATTAATTAGCCCGGTAAAGGCCTATAAAGGGCATGTTGCAAGAGAAAATGTCTGCCCTTTTGTAGCATTACTTCATTTTCCATATAGCAATTTAAAATTTTCAACCGTAAATTGTGGTCGTACCACTTCGTATAAATTTCTTTGTTGTTAATTCGTTCTCGTCCTCAATATGCAAAACCATGTTTTAAATGTTTGTCACAAGTCGTTAATCAAACAATAAAATTGAGAATGGAAATGGGGAATATGTCAAAGAGACAACAACCCGACCAAAGAGCAGAAAACAGCCGAAGGCCACCAATGGGTCTTCAACACAGCGAGAAAATCCCGCACCCGGAGGCGGGCTTCAGTTGGCCCCTAAATAAAAATGTGTAGTAGTTCAATGAAGATGGACGTCATATATTAACAATATTTATTTTAATCATATACATGTAATGTCTCAGTATCCAAATTGCACCCATTTAACATAATTAGCAGCGGAAATCTTACAAGTTTTCATAGATACTAAAAGAATTGTATTTTTATGGTTTGACATTATGCACGTCTTTCAACATAACTAAATATATTTAATATTTTTTTTAAATATACACAAAACGTTCACAGTATGAAACAACTCATATGAGATACAATGTAGTCACTGGAAAACGTAAAATCTACGGAAACGTCACCATGCGACGTCCACAAAAAATCAACTTTTAATAACGAGTCTTTAAAATATGTTACAGGCATCCATTTCTTTAAACAATGATAGTAAGCAGGGACTACTGTTAAATTGTTCTAAATATTTTGAGAAATAAAAAAACACATCAGTTAATCAATTTTTACGAATGTGAATTTAAGCATTGATGTAATTTGGGTACTCCTCATTACAGAATCATGGATCGTTTTGAGGTCGGTTCAAACCCATGTTTCTATGATTCAATATAGATTCAAAATTAAATTGGTAGAATTATATAAAAAAAAAATAAGGAAACATCTAAAAAATAAACACAGAATGAAAACTTGTGTCTGGATCATAAATACACGTAGGTAAAAATGTCAAAATAGGTGCAGTTTGTGTACCCTCACGTTATTTGCTCCTATACATTATACTAAGTGTGAACATGCACTTGTTCAACTAACTATTTAATAGACTTCGCCTTCTACAGTCTATTTACTTCATTACATGTATAATCATGTTTCATAATATCTTGAGTAAGCTTTCTTTTTTATTAATAACATATTCGTTACAATTATTTGATAGGAAAACAGGTATCGTGTATAATGAAGTTCACTTGGCGGTCAACCATTATTCATAATCAAGTTCACCGAATATACCAACTAGTTGTTCATAGATTTTTTATTTTTTGAGAAATCTTATTTCAAAATGCTGGTGTCATTGAAAGGCTGCTTGTTCAATTAGCACATTATATGCACGTTATAAACTTATTTGAAAATGATATGGATCCAGAATTTTGAAAACAGAAGGGAGAGGGGTTTGGGGGTGAGATCAAGGCAACGTACTGTTTGTTTAAAAAGGGTCTAGATGGGGTTTACAGAATAGAGAATAATGGGATAATATTACAGAAAACATGAACCAAACAAGTTTCATGATAAATAGAGACATATGGCTTAAAAAATTATGTAAAGAATACAAAATTGAAGGACCTGTAGTATTGCTCGATGGATTATATCTGTCAAAATGGTTTGACCTGGATAAAAGGAAAACATTTTGGACTGCAACTGCATGGAAAAAGAAGAATATCAAGTTAAACAGGACATACATGTCACATAAGGACCTATTCAAAATGTTACTTTAAGAGTTCATGTCACTGCAGAAAGTTTGCGTCTCTCTCAATACAATCCATCAGATACAAGTCTCTTTTCCGACTGTTCGTCGATTCGTATTTTTATACCTAGGAATGAGGGCTACTAATATTGCAATAATTACATTAAATGTATGTTTCATATAAAAATCCGTACTTTTGATTGGCTGAAAGCAATCGCGAGGCCTTCCAATATTAAATTGTATTTCTCCATAAAATTAAATATTAAGGAATGCACGTGCCTCTCGTGACAACGGCACAACAATGCATAGGGTGTAACATAAAAATATAATTATAAGAATTGAATGCTTCGTTTTGTAATTTCATTGGGCTGTAAAAACGTTGTTCGTGTGCACATTTTTAGTATGAAGTCCTTTGGTCAACGCTTTACATCCTAACTAAAATAGCATTCAATCATTCATTAAAACTATCCGTAGAAGAAATATTTTCGTTACACTTTTATAAGGGATGACTTCATATTTAATCAACTAAATGATAGTAATGAGTAGTAATATACGCGAGTTCCCTTTCGGATCCGTCGGACACCTAACTCCAACTTGTCCATCGATACTTTAAATTCTTCAATATATTGAATGAACTTAACATCATACATGTACATTTCTCCAGTACTACCGAACACAAACTGGCTTGATATTTTATCAGTAGTATAATTAATTGTAACTTTTGTGCTCTGTTCGAATTTGTCCGACACCTTACTGTCTGTTTTTCTATACTCTGAATTACGAGTAGGGTATGCTTATTACGACAGAGGATGCTTTCTTGTTACCGTGAAATCTTAAACAACGTGTTGGACAGTAGAAGGTCTCTTTACTTGTTCCATTTTTCTGTATTCCAGACAATCCTTTCAATTTGTAAAGGACAAAATCACCATATTATAAGTTATATGGTTCGCTACTGACCCCCTACGGATCCATAGAGGGTTAGTAAAATCCATAGGGGGTGAGGCCGAAGGCCGAATCTCCTATGGTTTTTATTCACCCTCTATGGTCCGTAGGGGGTCAGTAGTTAACCGTATAACGAATTTATCGCCCGCGAGACTTTTTTCCGCTGTGTTTTGTAGAGAAATAAACAATTAAACACAACAACATTAATAGATGACGTCACTATTAACAGTAGACGTGATTGGTTTAACGCCGTCACGTGGTGACCCCTATGAAATTTACTAACCCCCTACGGATCCATAGGGGGTCACCACGTGACGGCGTTAAACCAATCACAACGTGATAATTTACCGGCGGTGCGATAAGGTCATTTATCCGGATATATTCCTAATACCTGGCTCATTTCTACTACCTCGTTGGTATCGTGGTAGCATGTTCTCCTCGAGTGCGGGAGGTCTTGTCAAACAATAGACTTGGAACTTAGCATTTGCAGTCTTATCGAATGCAAGCACGTGGCATTTAGAAGTAACAGCACAATTAAGATATAAAAGAAAGGCGAAAGATACCAAAGGGATATTCAAACTCATAAGTCAAAAAAAAAAAAAAAACAAAAATAAAACTGACAATGGCATGGCAAAACTAAGAAAGAAGAAAAGACCATCAGTACACAAAAGACAACATAGAAAACTATAGACTGAGTAATACGAACCCCATCAAAAACCGGTGATGACCTCAGGTGCTCCGGAAGGTTAAGTAGATTCTCAAGTAGAAACGTGCACGTAACGATGTGTCGGCTTCGTTCTCGATAGCGGATACAAGATTGCGAAAACGTATCTAGAGCAAAGACTGGTCTGCTCGGAATTAAGGTAGGGTGTCCGGTAGGGTGAAATGCCTTCCTCTGTACAGTAACCTTGTGAAATAGCATGTTAGAAAAATCAACAGGGTTCATAACACATTTATCCGTTTGTGTTCTGATATGAATATAATATTTGCCACAGTACGTTAATCACCAATCCATCTATCCATCCCTACTGTTACAGCGACGAGTTACGTTTGTGGATATAATTTTCTGTATGCATGCATGCATGAATGTGATGTATTTATAGAAATCACGTTATAACTTTTGTATTTGCATTAACTATGTATTATCCCAGGCTCTGAAAAAAATACCTATACAGTGTTTTGTATTAAAGTATATAAGTAAATTTATTTTCAGAGACAAGTGCCTGTTTACTAGTACAATTTGATTATTAGTGTAACGAAACATTTAAATATACTGAGAAAACTCAAGTATCAACTTTGTAGGAAAAACTTAGAAAAACTCTATATAGTATTTATAAGACCAATTTTTGAATATGCAACTGAAGTTTGGGATAATTGTGGGATAGGATATGCTAATAAACTTGAAAGTCTGCAGCTAGAAGCTGCTAGAATAGTTACTGGTTTGCCTATATTTACAAAATCTGAAAATCTGTATGAGGAAGTTGGGTGGGAAACTTTAGCTGACAGGAGGAAAAGACGAAAATTACAAATGTTTTATAACATTCAATACAAACATGCTCCGGATTATCTATGTAATCTAGTTCCACCCAGTGTACAGAGCACAACTGTATATCCCTTGCGAAATGGCAATGATATTATTGTTCCCTTTTGTAGATTATCCCTTACTAAAGAATCTTTTATACCATCAACTATTAGACTATGGAATCATACCGATTTGTTCCTTCGAAAATCAGACTCTATCTCAAAATTTAAAATCCAATTAAAAAGGCTAAATACTATAAATAAAGATGTACCGAAGCACTATTCATATGGACCGAGGAAACTAAATATGATTATAACACAATTCAGATGCTATTCATCTTTCTTGAACTATGACTTGTTTAGAGTCAATATAATTTCTGACCCATCTTGTTTTTGTAAATGCAACATTGAGACTGTACACCATTTCCTTTTCGACTGTTCTTTATATACACACCAGAGAGAAATTCTGATGAACAATCTAAGATGGCTCCCTGATGACCTTATATTAAATGTTAAGTTACTAACATCTGGTAATCCAAACCTTTCGTATGAACAAAACGTCAATATATTTAAACATGTATTCGAGTTTATTAAAAGGTCTGAGAGATTTCTTGTTATATGATACTAATAGTGTATTTGCGGTACATTCACGTCATCATCCTCATCATCATTACCAATTTTTCCGTTATTATTGTTTTATCTTTTTTTTTTCAATAGATAGACTCTTATAGTATTGTATATTCTGAATTATTGCATGCTCACATTAATATTGTATTGTAATTTATTGTTATTCGGAGCGGACTTCATAAGTATGGTTTACTTGTGTCCAATCCATTTTACTTTGAGTAAATAAAATATGTTTAAACTAAACTACTAGTACTGTATATTGTAAAAGAATTTACGTACAATGAAAAGCAGCGATTCTTTGATACCCGTTAAACCGATTTTAAGTACAAGTATTATTTTTTTCAATATTTTTACTCTTAAAACACTACTCACGTAACAAAGAGGCCTACCCCTATATTTGTTTCACTTACAGTGTCGAAATCTAAGAGTTACAAATTCCTGCATGTTGCCGTCAAAGGCATTTTGATACAAACTTGAATGATTTACGTCTTTTTGTTAAATTTTGCTTCGTAGTACGATTTTACCCATAGGCAGTAAAAAAAGTCTCATTTTGACACAATGTGTCATTGACAATATAAAAAAAAAAACCTCACTTCTGTAAACAAAGACACATCGCGATCATCAAAGTGAATTCCATTCTCAATTTTATAACACCTGAGTCGTTCCCGTATCATATCCGTATCATTATCAGAGTTTTTGTGGTTTTTTTTCCACGTGATCACTCTTTTAGAATTGTTCTTTCTTTGCTATATTGTGTTTGTTATTTTTTTTTTATTTTTTTTATCACAAACTAATTATGTTTATATGACAATACAGATATTGTCATTGTAATTATCACCAAATTAACATGTGTTAACTTACATTTTGTTTTATTGGCATTACCAATTATCACCTTGCAGTTGTCGATACTTGTATATCTATCTTTACATTACATTTTGTTTGTACTTTAAGAGTCCAAGAGAACATTTCAGCTTACACTTTAGCCAGTTTTACCGTTGAAGAATTCTTAAATCTTACGTTGGAAAAGGCAATTTGGTAATTTATATCAATGATTTCCTTATGTCTAATGTTTCACATGATCAAGCCCTAGAAAAATCTATGTTTCCTTTGGAAAAATGTAAATTAAATTCAGATTGATTGATTAATTTGATGTTTTAACGCCATTTAGCTATTTCGTGGTGGTCAGTATTTATTTGCGGTGGAAGCCGGAGTGACTGGAGAGAACCACCGACCTTCGGTATGATAACTGATAATCCTTGTCATTTAAGATTGGAGTCGGGCGTCCCACGATGTGCGGGATTCGAACTCACAACAGCTAGTGATACAGTAGTTGGATTACTTAGACCACTCGACAACAACACCCCTTTACAAGTAGAAATATGTTAATAGGCTAAATATTGTAAAGGCCATATGTTATCAAAGCAACGAATTCGGTTATTGAAATTACGATCAAAGTTTAAGAAAGACTAACGAATATTATGTGCAACAAGAAGTGATGATAGATCATATAGAGTAATCTCTCATATCAGGCGCGGAAACAGACGGGGTGCACCCCCCTCCCCCCCCCCCCCCCGACCCTAATAAAAGAAAAAAATGTAATGTGTAGGTAAAATTACAACCATTTTGTTGCCAAAATAGGGACGGTCCTTCAACTTTTATCTCTCAGGGGCCGTCTTCTTACATCAAATCCTGGAAATGCACCTGCTAATCGTCATGTACTGGCTTTGTTTTTTATATGAATTTTATTTACACAGAAAAACAACTTTTTGTGTGAAATTATTGTGTTTTTGTAATTGTTTGATGTTGGTGCACACCGCCTCATTTCCTGGAGTCTGTCTCCTTACTCAAATCAAATTATACTAATAATATGTAATTTATTTAACAACTGGACACAACAAAATATTATCGTTTATTCCTTTCCAATAAATATATGGTCGTCTATTTTCAGATTTTTATTGCAGCCATTTTCTGTACAACAAAAATCACACTCCTTGGTATCTGCTAGTTCCACAGATTCGCCATTTTGTAAAGTAAGACACATCGGATCGTCTGCTGTCTTTAACCACCATTTCTTATTGCATTCATCTTCAGATACACAACTGAAAAACAACAGCCAATAATAATAATTTTATAAATACAAATATTTGAACGATTTTAATAAATAACATTATCAAAACACTCCTTTTTTGAAATTTTTACGCAATATGTATAATAGATGCGGGGCATTCGTATACGAGACAGCAACCGATCAACAACAAAAATCAAAATTATTAATCTAACTATTCCACAATAGACAGCTATCTATACAATACGTCAAATTCTAAATTATCCGGAGTCGATAAAATTAGCGTGACTTGGGACAGACACATAAACAGGTTGCAAGAACTCAGTTTACCTATACTATCGAGGACCGCCTATGTGGATTCGTGGTAGCGTGTTCGCCTCGAGTGCAGGATGTGGTGGGTTCGAATCCCGGCCGGGTCATACAAAAGACTTTAAAATTGGTATTTGCTGCTTCTTTGCAAAGCACGTGGCATTAATGAGTTAGAGCAAGGACTGGTCGGATTAGATCTAGAACAATGCGTCCCGGTAGGATGACATGTCTCCCTGTGGACTGTTACCACGTAAAAAAATTGGCTAAGCGTGTGAGTCTAGTACAAACCAAGGTTAATATTCATAGTACATTAACAAGACTTAGTTATCGCCCTGAATGTGTATTTATTTTGCCGCTGGATGTTAAACAGCCATCCATCATCGTCATCTTATACTGTTCAGGTGCTTGTATGGCTGTTGAACGACTTTCCAAGATAGCACCAGACACGTTGTACACGCATGTTATAAAATACAACACATTGGCATTTAACCTTGCATCTACCGAGCAATTGTCTTTGTTTTTGTTTACTATAAACAAGCAACTGGTGTCATGGGTTGGATCATTAACTGTACAAAACAACTTGACATGTTCTTTGTGAAATTGCCGCGCAAAATATTTTTAGAAAGAACGAAAAAAAAATATTTGTTTTTGAATTATTTCATTTTTTGTTTTCATCAATTTCGTTTGTGTATTGCTTATAATAATTCTCAACGAAGCACAACACCAAATGACTGTCATATACAAGAAGTAGTTTAACACAACTGAGTATCATGAGAGTATGGAAGGATTTTAGCACGCATGGCCAATAGGGCGATTAGAGTTTAAATAGTGGTCTTATTGGCAATTGTCTATAATGAGGAAACAGCCATTCGATGTCAAGCCTAGGAATAGGGCACGAAATTCATTAACTGTTCTATAGATAAAAGAACGTGTAGAGTAAACAAGTAACTTAATTAAAGGAGAACTTAACCAAACAGCAGGTAAACCCCCTCAATTCGCCGTTTCAGAATCTAAAGGGTTGTGGATAATTTCTTTGATCGTACACCAAAATGAAAATAACGTTCCGTCATTGGTTGAACTTTCATTGTTTAGCACGCTGTTGGCCAATCACAACGTTTTAATGTACGCTTTTGAAAATAGTACCTAGAATGCATTAGATTCTGAAAGTGCGAATCATTTGCAAGAAAAAGACGCTTACCTTCTTGATACATCTTTTGTACCATTATTGTAAGCAGTAAAGGTATTCATACAATACTTTTTATCAGAACCGCATAACTGTAATTCACTATCATTACAATTTATAGAATTGCATATAAAACAACTAATAGTTCCACCGTTAGTTGTAGGGTTGTTGATATAAGTAATGTTTGGGTACAAAGTAGAGCTACTAGTAGGTAATGGCAATGGTCGTTTATCAGTTGTTACTGGTACCTCACTAGAAGGTTGTTGAGAAGACCGGTTAACAGTTGTGACTGGTACTTCACTAGAAGGTAGCGGAGAAGAGCGGTTAACAGTTGTTACTGGTACTTCCGTAGAAGGCAGTGAAGACGGCCGGTTAACAGTTGTGACTGGTACTTCACTATAAGGTAGTTGAGATGATAGGTTAACAGTTGTGACTGGTACTTCACTAGAAGGTAGTGTAGTCGGCCGATTAACAGTTGTGACTGGTACTTCACTAGTTGGTAGGGGCGACGACCGGTTAACAGTTGTGACTGGTACTTCACTAGTTGGTAGGGGCGACGACCGGTTAACAGTTGTGACTGGTACGTCACTGGTTGTGTGACTTTCTGCTGTTTTCGATGAATGTGGCTTCGTATAATATGGTAATGTTAAGATTGATGTCGATGCAATTCCTGATGTTAATGACGATGAATGTAGATGATGGATGAATGTTCTTGGGATGAGAACTATTAAAAAAGATATTAAAAATATTAAGTTTAATATAATTTATAAAAATATCTAAATAGGTATTAATTCAGATAAAAACAAACTAAACATATTCTATATGTTACCTGCATTCATTTTGGCTTAACTTTCATATTAAATTTTACCATGCAATTTTATAGGCAAGTGCTATATTTAACATACCCATTTCAACCTAAATCCGGATTTAAAGAAGCTGTTTTGATAAACACATACAAATTATTATTTATGTTCGTTTGAAAAAGTGAATTTAGAACATAAATATGGTCTTCTGCTTTTATGGACTTGATTACACATAGTCGTAAATATCATAGTCTTTTCGCTTTGTGAATGCAAGTTGTTGCATTGGCAATCTATTATATCTATATCAATTTGCATTTATCAAGAATAGTTTGAAAAAGTCTGTCCCATGAACAGATAAATTCTACGTTCGAATCTTTTTAATTGCCACTGTTCATGAACTTATTAACCCTGATGAACGATGATTGCCTCGCGTTTAAATTACGAAAAAAATATCTGATAAGCTCATTACATTAACAGATAAATGAACCATGCATCAAAATATTCTCATACACAATTATCCATTAGATTAAAATAAGTGGTAATGAGCAATTAAAGTTACCGTAAGGCCTGCAACAGTGCGAAGAACCCATATCGAAAAATCGGCTATAAATGGCCCCGACATGAACAGAATTTGAAAACAATTAACCGAGAAAACCGATGGCCTAATTTATAACAAAACAAGTTTCGAAAACAAATATGGCAGACATGAACCAACAACAATCACTATACTATAGGCCCCTGACTTGGGACAGGCATATATAGACATATAGATAGGCAGGGTAAAACATGTTAGTGAGCGATCAACCCTCCCATTAATTGTTACAGTATTGATTATTTATCATGTATTACAGAGAGAAAGGTTTTATTTGAATGGGCAATCGTTTGGGTATTTTTTTTGCAGACAATGTAATAATGTGATCAAATTTATACGATTTTAACGATCCCTTTGTACCTGCAACAAGCCGTAATAAAAAAAAATTCACATTGTGCCCTGCAGATTGTATTTCATAAATCATATTTAAAAAAGGAGATGTGGGATGATTGCCAATGAAACAACTATCCCGGATGATGGCATCAGAGTTCAAATAAAGTGGATGTAAGCAATTATAGACAACTGTAATACCTTCAACGATGAGAAAACCCCATACCGTATAGTCGTCTATAAAAAGCCCCGACATGAAAAATGTGAAACAACTCAAACGAGAAAAACAATGGTATTATTCTTAAACTTTCTAATTGGTCCCATGTCAGGAATTTATTCATTGTTTGTCGTTCTTTCATAATGATATCACTTTTATTTACATCCTGCCTAGTGGATAATTTTTGTTATATCGGTTTACCCCTTGTACAAGGGTTATGAAGTTACGCGAATTTTAAAACTCAGCGTATACTTAAATATTGTTTATCGGTCATGATTCACCCTCAAAATGATTTTAAGAAAACAAACCTCCGTGACAGAGACACACATGACATTTCCAGGCGTTGTTGTGAACTGTGAATGCATGACAGTACGATGGACAGTCACTTGGTAATTCAAGACAATGAAGGGTTGATGCTATGGCTGAAAGAAATTCATAATTTGTTATTCGAAAAAATTCCATACATTTTCATTTGAAAGAATTTCATACATTGCAATTTCAAATAATTTTATGTTATTTTCTAAACACTTGCAGAAAAGTTGTGAATTCATTGTAACGATACATGCTAATAGCATAAGATGCTGAATACACTGGCAATTCATTTATCAATGTCCATTTTCATATTGTCTTTTTTATTTTCATCCAATAGCACCTGACAATGCAATATAAAGATGCTGTGTGCTGCTTTATTTTGAGCAATACATCGTCGTTATTATGCATGTAATGCCACTGGACGGTAAACAAACAATATTTAGTAAATCAGGTCAAGTGCAAAATTTTTATTGATCCTCATTGTAAATAGAACTGAAACTTCATTAAGTGGTACGGGATTTGGTGGCCGAGTGGTCTAAGCAGTCGAACTGCTATATTACTAGCCTGTACGTGATAGGTGCATTAGAATCTAATCTTAATTGACTAGGAATGTCAGTTTTCCTGCCGAAGATGGTGGTTTTCTCCGGGCACTCCTGTTTCCTCCATCACATCATTAAAAACTTACCGCCACGAAATTGTAAATAGTGCTGAAAGTGGCATTAAACACCAACCAATCAAACAATCAATCATATTCTGTAACATTAATCAAACTTTGAATCCGAAGACTGGTCCAATGACATCAAATATGTTACATGCTTTACTTTCAGCAATACATCGTTGTAATGTTGTATGTAATATTTGCCAAAGGACGGTAAGCAAACAGCATTTAGTAAATCAGGTAGAGTGCAAGATGTTTATTGATCTTCTTTTTAGATATAACTGAAACTTCATTAAGGATGTTCGCTGCTCTTTTCTAACTTATTGTCAGATATTTTGAATCCTCTGGTTTTATCCATGTAGTGCTATTAAAAAAATTGCCCGCTAACCCCTACTTTTCCTTTCACAATTTAATAGATATAGTATTAAAAGCCATTTTTGTAAATCTCATCAAATTCTAGTTATTTTTTTTTTCAAAGTCTATGAAAGACAAAAATGTCAATGTTAAATGAATGAAGAAAAAAAAATCCCGACACATGTTCAATTAAGAGATAACTGTGTTGTATTTGAAGCTTTGCGTACGTCAATCTGTAGTTTTACTGTCGCAAATCACCTCATTTGACATTGTTTTCTCGGGGTATCAATCTGCTCTATCACTCTTTCATCTATGTGTTATTTATATATTGATATACAGAAAATTACTATCATATGGGGACTAGAGATCGTCTTAAACTTGTAGTGAGGTAATAGTTTTCTCCGTGTTGAAGGCCCAGTAGTGACTATGTAACGAAGAACAGCAAAACAGGTGCTATTCCTTTACTTTTCAATTTTCTTTTTCATGTAGTGATTTTTATTGTCAGAATCAGCTATAGGGGAGAACTGTCCAAAATTGTTCTAAGGTAGGATCGCCTTTAATGGAAAGTGGTCTAAAGGTGTCAGTTGAACAGTTCTGGCAATTCCTGATATATTTGAAGAGAGGTAAAACTGTTTATCAGATTCAAATCATTTTTAGAATGTTTACCCGTTGGTTTAAACGTTCTTTTGATTGATCCGTCAAAGAAGATTATGAGGATATGGAAAAATAGATGAATAGCTAACTTTAAAAAAGACGACAAAAATAGTCTAATGTAGAAAACTGAGGCAAAATTCCGACAAAGACGTATTTGAAGGATGGTGTAGGGTTATAAAAATGATCGAGCAGACCAATGCTGATATGCTTTTATCAAGTAACAAAAAATATTTAAATTCGCAAGTTATCAATTTTCTATATGTGTTTTTCTTAAACGCAATTTTATGTAAAATTATTTATTATTCAGTATACTGCAACGTGTATTATATGCAGCGTTTTATTTTAGATTAACACTAAGGACAAATGCATGCATTCAAAGAGTATTGGTCCATCGCAGTTTTTTAATTATATAACAGTGGAGGTCAATAATTTGGAGGATTTGGTACTTCTGTTTCTAAATGTGTTTTTTTTGTTTTTGTTTTTTCAACAACCAATCAATCATTGTTTTGCTTTGTTTTATTCAGATATATATTATTTTTGCGATTTATTATTTTTTTTTGGGGGGGGGGGGGGGGGTTATGGGTTTGTTTTAATTTGTTTTGTCAAATTTGTCATCGCTTAAACATTGACATGCTTTCAATTATTTTAAAGTGCTGAGTTAAATCTAAATTAACTAACTTTGTACTTTGACGCTTACTAGTAAATTACACAGCTGCAGTCCAAATTACCTTCTTTGTCCAATCTAGAAACGTTTAACCCAGTGCCATTCCCATGATGCAACAGAGTTTCTAAATTTAGTTCTGGATTTACTCAATATTTAACTTACCAATATTTGTAACTTTAGAATCATCCTGGAGTACGAATCTTGATTCTCGTTCTAGGTCTGTAAAAATAAGTAAAAAAAAAAACAATAAAAAAGATCACAACTATACAAAAAAACATCAATATCTTTACAAACATTTTGGAAACTAGCGTTTCAAGTACATGAGGAAATCTTCAGATGGTTCTGAATAATTACAGGTGTCTTTCAAATATAGATGTACAAGACGTATAAATATCATTGTATAGCAGCACCACCGGATATAGGTACCCCCGAAGCAAAGAAACCATGAAAGCAAAAAGTACCTATTCTATTCCCCGTAAAGTAAAAAAATAACCGCCGTACAATTTATCAGCTTTATTTACATGAATTTCTCTGTGAAAACATTAGTTTATTTCAAAACAAAGTGTTGTTAAAGCTTAAAAATGATATAATTTTGTTCTACCAAAGCGTCAAATAAATAGTTGAAGGATAAATATGTCTTTAACAAGTTTGAACTCGTCACATGCTTCTTTGAACAGGTGCTACCCGGTCCTATTCTGGCCATTTGAAGAGAAAAAAAGCCACTTAAGGATCATAATGGGCCCTAAATAGTGGCTACATTATTAGGAATCAGTATCATAAAACTCTACTTGTCAGCAAAACATAGAGTACAATGAAAATAAGTAGAATTAGACCTTACCTGACTTCACATTTTTTTCCACCGCGTCGGGGGTATCTATATCCGGTGGTGATGCTACACAGTGAATATACATCTTAAAGTTAATTTTTATTTAATAAAGATGACTTAAACACTTCATAACATCCAATTTTTCAATTCGTTCCAATGATAAGAATTAATGTGCAGTATTACTGTAATTGTATGCCAACATGCTATCATTGTAAAATATTGGTTGAAGATGACTGAAGGAACCATCATAAAATTACAGACGTGGCGATAACTTTAGTATGATAATTCGTTATGCTCTATCCTACATGTATGCAATCTTTATTTTAGATGATTAATTTTAAGTGGTGATACAAACATAAAGAAAGATATAAAAATCTATGATTGCACAGAAGAGATGGACTTGACCAACGCAACAAGAAAGTATAAGTCCTCTTGAACCCAACGAATGATTTTCAAAATGTATGGATATATAGATACGCAGTCACGTTATTTATGATTGCAGCGCCACACAATACATCCTTGATAGTATGCAAGGCCACTTATAGGTAAACGAGCCCTATGGCTATGTTAATAACAAAACTTATAGAGGTTGTCCGTTTGGCTGCGGTGATTGTTTAGAAACATTGTCGCGTTCGGTGATATTCGGTATTCTATATTCAAAATGCATTAATAAATTAGGTCTAAAAATTTTAACCAAGTCAGGTCTATAATATCACTGGGCAATTGTTCCAACGAGGACTGTTCGAAGAAAAGCAGCCAATGTATACGTCTGTTCGAACATTCATTAAAGTTCAATATATTTCTTACTTCCCATTCGTCGTTAACGTTGCGCAGCCATACGGTGTACATACCTTGCTTTTTTGTTGTCTTACAGTCGCAGTAATCACATCGTATGGTTTCAAGAATGATATCCTCTAAATGTCGGATCGTACAGTATGATGGACAAACACGAACCTTGTGGTTACAAGGATTTAACATGGCCATAAACACTTCTCCTAAACAAAGGACACAAACTGTTTGTTAATAAATTGAATTTGATTAAAATTCAGAATAAAAGAAGAATCAAAACTGTACATTGACATATTATGCATTTATCTTACAGATGGATGTTAGTACCGCAGAACTTAATATTGAGTCCATGGTTTGTATCAAATGTGAACTTATCAAATTGCGACGAGTTTAAAGGATTGCATTAATCAAAGCAGGTGGACTCTGTTGGATAGTTGCAACAGTATCATTGGCACTTATAAATAATCTTATTTTATACCTTAGCTATGACGAGGAATACAAAAAAAAAAATAAAAAAAATATATTATCAACCGTTACAGATAAATGATCGCCTTGGGGTGAAGTCCAAGGTAAATAAATTTAAAGATAAATGCAAACCATATTCAAACCTTGTGGACAGCGACAGAAGAAACAATGCCAATCATCGACTGTAATATTGTGTACCAGACAGTCACTGTGGCAGTATTCTGGGCTCGGTAAACAAAACAGCTCGGTAGGATCAGGTTTCGACCCTAAAATAGCAACACATCAATTTGTATCGAGAATGCAGGAAGTTTGTGTGTACTGTTTGCGTATCTGTAGCACCCCAAACCCCCGTTTTAAACCTAAATATTTACAGTTAAGTGGTTAATTTCACGGAATTTAGGTTTCCCAACTTCTAAAGCCAAACCTGTTCACGAGGTATTAGTTCCGCATTTTGCTGTCCTTGATTATGCTTGTCTAACATTAAATATATAGAAAGAAATTTTTTCGCGATGTTATTCTTATTTCGAAATTAATCTTAAAAAAAATCATCGCAAAAAGTTAAATAAAAATGTTCTAGACTAAATACAAAAAAATACTTTATAAATTGCGTGCTTTTTATGATTAGCCTTCATCGTCCGGAACGCTCTTATCCAATCATTTTGTTAATGTCTGCAGCGGTGTATAAATATGTAGAAACGTTAAGAATTATATGATCAACAGGGACTAAAAAAATTGCAAAAATTATCTAACTTAAAGGTCTACTCTGTCTGCAATATTGTAACGCTATAATACCTGAATGAGCCTGCTTTGTTGAGGTTGTCGCTGATGTCGTTAACGGTACAAGGGTACTTGTTGCTTTAAATATAACAATAATATTTTATTTTACTAAATAATTGTATACATTGTCATAAGTGTACATGAAACAATTGATTTATAGACTCCAATATTAAAGTACAGGACAAAGTTATTCCGTTGTCATCAGAAAATAACATAAAACGTGCTTTGATTTACTTATACGAGCATCGTTATGAAGATGAACAACTGAAATCGCCGTTACATACTTTTCACTGTCACCATCACGATTTGAATGACCATGCAGTACACTATGCCTGTGTTTCAAATCGATAGCGACATGTTTTCGCGGTATTGTATCGTTAGTTACCAAACAATTCGTCTGATTAGTATTTTTACCGAATGGGTCATTTTCCCGATTGTAACTATTGACTGACTGGATGTTAATACGCATAGCGGGTGATGCAAGATACTGAAGCAGGAAACACTTACCCTGTCGACGGATCTGGTCTCGCTTCTGTTGGAGCTCATGTGATTCCCTCGGTTGCCTTGATTTGTCTCTTTTAATCGATTTACGAGATAAGAACATCGGCAAACTGCTGTGGCCTTATTTATATGATAATGGTATTTTGGCAAGTCGTGTTTGGCCTTGCAAAAATTGATATGTACCGGTATCAATATAATATATTAGATTTATCAGGTTTTGGACCGTGGTTGTATTTTGTTGTTTATTTCAATTTGGTGCTCATGTCTGATTTCTGGTCGATTTCAAGTTAATTTTTAATTTTTTTTTTTATTTAAAGAGGACAACAGCCAACAGCCAGAGGCTACGTGTGGGTCTCCTCAACATAGATATATACAGATTCACAATTAACAAAGATTTTTTTAGTTTACAAACATGTTTAACACAAGACAAGACAATATGTACAGGACAAGACATACGAATGAAATTAGACTACACACCTATCCAATCACTCGCTCATTCTTACTCGCATACACACGACTTTACAAACATGTTAGATTCAGTAATAGAATAGAATAATAGTTATGGAAAGACGATTTTGAGTACAATCAGGTCAAATGTAAAAAGAAAAAAAAAGAAAGAATAATAAATAAAAATAAAATAATATAAGTGTATGAATGTGTTTCACAACTAATATGTTTTATTCCAAGGAAAAGGATAGTATACAAATAAGTTATTGAGCTATCGAGAAAATCTATTTGAAGATTTAATATATCGAAACACACACTCAAACAGATCTAAATTAGTATCATCAGAGAAATCGTCACTACCTTCAATTAAAATTTTACTAAGATAGTTCGGACATAGATTTCAAGTTGTCTAGACGGTTACATTATATATTTTGTTTAATCGGTGAGCTGTCAAAAAATTGTCACTCATTAAATCGTAAAGCAAATGACAAATTGTATAATACACTGACTAACATTAAAAACGCAACACTCATTTTGTTGATTGTTTTTACCAAATCATGTTTGATCCTCATACATTTGTACAACTACTATTCATGCTTACCATACTTCTTTCTGTTAAGAAAAAAATCAAAATCTGACTTACCTGTGGTTATTGAACATACCGCATTATTGAAGTCGCACGAATTTCTTAAAGCGAAATTTGGAACCCATAAATGATTTTTTTAATTTTTTGTTCTTCGTGAAACAATTCTTTCAATCCATACCCACACTTCAATCAGTTAAACAATGTTCCATCTCCGTATTGCCAAGACTGAGCAATAAAAAACTGAATCAGCCCATAAGAATATTGCAGACATGAAAACGTGAACGTGTTGTAACCAGACAATTTGACGTCAGAAACTCGTCTTACTTTCCTTCAAACAACGATGCAGGCAGACGGGATTTGTTGATGATCATCAATGACCAGATCAATATGTAGTGACAAGGCCACGTCAATAGAATTTGATTACGCAACGTCATTTGCGAGACATGTTTACGGCATCAACGTCAACTCCTAATCAAATTGCCGAATGCCATGGCACACAGATTCATGCCATACATGTTTCCCATTAACTGAAATGCCAAAGAATCGACTGCAGAAAAACATTTAAAGCCCTAAAGTTTCAACCGCATAATTGCCAAAACACACTGTAATGGGTGGGACAAAGGCAAAATCAGAAGGTGCAAAACAGAACCCAATATATGCCGAAAAGGATTGGTTGACCTTTCTGACAATCATTTTGGCGTTGGTTACAGATAGTCATTGCTTTCGACGGTGACACATCAATTGGTAAGGGGAAAACCAGGGTTTCAGTGCATACCACATTATTTGAAAATTAAAAATAACGTTACCAATTCAACTTTCGAACTGCAATTTTCTTTTAAACAATGAAGTAATGAATGAAATTTATGTTCATACATTTGTTTAACAAAAATTGCATATTTGAAAATGGGAATTAAAAAGAATAATCTAGTGTTGCGTTTCTAAAGTCGGTCAGTATATATACCTGTCCATCTGTCTATAGTTGTCAAATAACGTATGGTGACATCTAGCTACCTTTTATAAAAAAACAAACATTGTGTTTGGTTGCTGTCTGATTGACGTTTATCTCCTATTATTCACATATATACGATGTGTTTTAAAAATGAAATAATAGCTTTACCTGCCTGTTGCTTTGTAATACATCGGCATATTTGGCATCCTTCAGGTCCTATTTCAAACACTTTTCCAGGAGGGCAACGGAACAAAGGACAGAAGAACGGAACACATCGCTTTGTTTTCCTATTGTATGATTCTTTACCATTTTCTCGCTTTAACTTATGACCAGAGATAACGACGTTTCCTAATGGATTGTCGCGTTTTCCTGTTAAAAAACAAAACAAACAGCAATTGAGAGGTTTACCGAGAAAGATATTTTAAACAGGTGGTAACTATATCAGCACCTTAAAGTTTATTAATAATTACTTCAAAATACAACAGAGGATAACATGCTATAAGCAAGAGCATGGTTTTAGCCCATATAACAAAAAAATAAAACAAATATTGTTATAAAAAGTATAGTAAAATCATTCGGTATACGGTCTTCCCTTGTTCCGTTCAATCATCAGTACCTTGACGTTGTCATTTGTTGTGGCTTCTTAAAGATAATGTAGATAATTTGTCTCTGGGAAAATAGTTTTTGAAGAAAGTTGAACACACATGTTGAATATGACTTTTCACAATGCAATGTCAAAGGCATCTTAAACAAGTTTAATTTTTGTTGTACACATGATTACATATCAGTGATCTATACAAAGCTATATTTGCTGTTAACATTTAAGGTACATACGTGCCTTCATTTTTACACTTAAGAACTTTTGAATATATCGATAGAACTTACCAAACATGTCATTCGGAGGAACTTTTGGACAATTATAACAATTTTCACAAATACGACCATGGTATGACACATTAGACTTTTCACAAAATGTCGGGCACATGGCAAATTTCAGTTCACATGGGTTCCTCAAGGTCACATATGTAATGTTATTAACAGTGATATATGGAGATTTTGTTCCAGATGTTGATAGCGTCGTTTGAATCGTTGTCGGTACAGTTGGAACAGTCGTCGGCCATGAAACTAAGATAAATATTACAGAAAACGAATGAACCATAGCATTTGTTTTATATATAAACGTAACAGTACATAGAGAAAATTTCAAAAATATTTCTACGTTAAATACACTTCTCTAAATAAAATTATAATCCATTCAAAGCTGTTTAGTATAGCAAAGATTATGAGACAGGTCTTTAAATATTTGTATTTGTGACTGCCATATGTTGTGTATACAAATCCAGAATGGATAAAGAGGGAAACCGAACGGAAACCTGATTTACAGTAATGTTAACCACCTACTAAATCAGGGCTCTCCAATATAGGGAAAACGGTACTATTTATTCTGCCATAGGCGACAATACTAACGCTTTCTAAATTTACCCCTTTTTATAATAAAAACCTGGACAAAACAGTTATGTGTGGTGTAAGTACTTTATTACTCTGTTTTAAAAATTGAAGCCAAATAGTATCATGACCAACTTCCAACGGAGCTTGTTTATGTTATCCATGCCCACCGTCATTTTACATTAAATTTATGAAATTTTGGAAGTCTTTTCGAATAATTCTCTAGAAAATGTTTCAATGGGTTTCAAAATTTATATTGTAAATATACACACTGCAGTTATTCATAGATAAATAAAAAAATATATTGTACCCTTACATCCAATAACAGCGTTCCTAAGTTGACTTCCTTCACCTGCCTTGGGTACACAAAAGGCCAACCTAATGCTAGGAAAATGTAATAGTACCGTTTTCCCTATACTGTGACATAAAGATATAAAGAATTCTTATGACACCATTAATGCTATACTGGGTTATTGTCAAAACCTTGGCTTTAATAAATTCTTGTATGTCCCCATTACTTAAAGAAACATGGACCATTTCATGTCCCCACCCCTATATGCTGGTTTACCTCTTTCTGTACTTCTTTCAGATAAGGCTTAATAAACTACCTGTATCCAATCATATCTTATCTTATTTAAAAAGAATAATAAACAATACCATTTAAACAGATAAAAATGACAATTCCATTCAATTTGTATTCAATTTATCCAAAATTTACAACATAAGCACAAATTCAAGATTTTTCATACTAATCTCCATTCCATGCTTTAGTATATGCCATATTGTGGTTCAAAATTTCAGAACTTGTTATAAAATCCATTATTCTGTCTTGGGATGATAAAAACAAAGATATTAGACACTTATAACATTAAATATGCAAAATACTCAGCTGTAAAGTTGCCTTTATTGCCTGTATCAGTCTATGAAAAAGCTGAATTATGTCCCTTGGGAGTATTCATTTCCAACAAAAGTCTTTTCAAACAGTCGAAAATGAAAAATTATATATGCTTGATATAATAAAAGATAGAAACTACAAAATGAAGCACTATTCAAACATTTGCTGCATGAATTGCCAAGAATCTGATCAATTCTTTACACAGGAGAATATAAAATCTACCTAAATTTAGCCTCAATTGGGCCTCTTTTTTTCTTAGATGTACAATTTTTATACTGAAAATGCTTCTATTGTGACCAAATATTGCCTTACTCCATAAACAGTACAAACTTAACCAGACAATTTCCCAATTTAATAGATTATGTCTTGAGAAATACCCAAGGGATACATTTAGGGAATTACACAGCAAAAAAGGCAAATATTTCAGTTAAAAATATTTGTCGCGACTTGAATTCTTGTGTTTCCAATTGAATTAATCATTGCGAAAGGTGAAAACAAATACAAAAGAACTAGAGTTAGGTGCATTTTATACAATATAGTTAATATTGAAATCCTAGAATGAAGTTTTATATCAGTACCCATCAATTTGACTTATTATGATGACTCAGCACTTTTCTCAACACAGTATTGGTCTCAGTGAAAAATTTCTATTCTTGGTGATAAAAATCAAACGTATTAATCAAAAGCTTCAAAATAGTGTAATATAACTGAAGTCTGATTGATTTTGATTTCCCTTGCTATCTTCAGTATAGGGAAAACGGTACTATTTATTCTGCCATAGGCGACAATACTAACGCTTTCTAAATTTACCCCTTTTTATAATAAAAACCTGGACAAAACAGTTATGTGTGGTGTAAGTACTTTATTACTCTGTTTTAAAAATTGAAGCCAAATAGTATCATGACCAACTTCCAACGGAGCTTGTTTATGTTATCCATGCCCACCGTCATTTTACATTAAATTTATGAAATTTTGGAAGTCTTTTCGAATAATTCTCTAGAAAATGTTTCAATGGGTTTCAAAATTTATATTGTAAATATACACACTGCAGTTATTCATAGATAAATAAAAAAATATATTGTACCCTTACATCCAATAACAGCGTTCCTAAGTTGACTTCCTTCACCTGCCTTGGGTACACAAAAGGCCAACCTAATGCTAGGAAAATGTAATAGTACCGTTTTCCCTATAGATAAGACACGTGGGTTAGAAGGAAGTTGGATCACATGTTTGTATTTGTGCTCTATAATATGACACAGTCAGTTAGTGTGTAGACTGAAGATTCTGGCTCAAGAACAGTCTTTTAAAATTATTTCATTAATTGGTAATCTTAAAATGAATGTGTATCACAATGGTTCCTGAAACAGATGAATGAAATTAGTTTCTCTTTGGTGTTTTCATTAGTTGTACAGATAGCGTTTCAGTTTTCCCTCGCTTTTGGCTTTGTTCCGCAGGAATTTCCCCCATAGTTCTACATTCATAACGATAACGTCTACTGTTTGATCGTTCAATTTTTTAGTCTTAATTGTTAAAGTCATATGACATAATTTTCGATTGATTATAATGTTAAAGAATTTATTGAACCAATGCATGTATATATACTAAACTTAGTATTATGTGTACTTTTTTTTCCATATCTATTACGAATCCGTAACGTATAATCGACGAAACATATTTCATTTGTTGATTGTTGATCGAAAACTTTGGCTGCCAATTAACTGTTTTGTACCGAGGTCTACCGATTGTGATCTTGATGAACAAATAACACAGAATCATAGAGCACGTGAACAATAAGTGAGATAATATAGCGATATGTATTCGCTTTTTCATATCGTCCATGCGTTCCTATAAGTAAATTGAAGTTTGTCATATTCGTTGATAAATTGTTTTTTGTATTACAATTTTCTTTCAGAATGGATTGGTAGATAATGTCTTCTGTCCACGTTTGTTTACCTGATCTTACATTACGGTTTCCCCCTTTTCCATCTGCGCTGTTAATAGCAGTAGATTTTTGAAATTTTTGATACAATAACGGATTTTCTTATAAAAGAAATGTTATGTACACGTATTTATAGTTTTATACACATATTACCTACTCTTATTTTCTGGGTTTTTACAATAACAATACTCGCACACCACGTCATTTTTCATGGTCACGACCTCACATGATGAAGAACACAACTTATCTTTATCGTAACATGGATTGTCAAGGGCGTAGAACGATGGCGTGGCCTGCGTTTGAGCTGAAATGAAAGTGAAAATCAAACTGCATCTTTAATATCATTTGAAAGATAACATCCAATGAAACGAAGACATATTTGACTCATTGTGATCTGCTAATATAAATAGAACATAAGGGTGAATAAAATAAAAATTGCTAGGTTTTATGATTCCCCAGTAAATATTAGCTAATTTCTTCATAAAGAGCTATATATTATAAGTCAGTAGGTACAGATTAAAAATGAGTTTCATCTAGGCTTACCTACTTTTGATCTATAATTACTGGCGTAGAAATTCCGTGAAAACGATACTTAATGAATTGTAAACGGGTGATAGAATACCACATACGGTGACCTAAATCGCGTACATTTACGGCATGTGGTCTCTGGTTCATAGTTGTCTCGTTGGCAATTATACCACATCTTCTTATATCAAAATGATTATATAATTACATATCACATCTATTCGGGCTATGATTTTTCTTCTATTGACCTGAATTCTAAGCCGTTGGCATCCTCACTGGAAATAATATAAAATGTAACTTTATTGCATGCTATATAGCAATAAAATTCGAATTCCGTTTTAAAGTTCGATGAATAACCTTCCAAATTACGGTAAGGAGCAAAAAGGGGGTAACATGTAAACAATAGTATAGCATAATTATGTTGTCTGCCATATATAAATGCACAATTACGTATCAGATTCTTTTTGACGACAAGGGTTTGAACTAATTATGGCCACCATTATCTTACATCAAAATGACAGTTCATCTTGTAAACCATCCTTTCAAATTATGTTTTAGTTGATAAACTATGGTATATATGAATTAAATATGGTACATATTTTATATGAAAACAGGAATTCTGGTGATTTATTTTACAGTCTAGGAATACAGGATTTATTTCTTAGTTGTAATTTGCTTTGAGCTAGCTTTCAGTAACTATGAGTTATTTCATATACGTTGTGTCGATCTGATAATTCAAGCCCTTTCCAACTGATTTTTACAGTTTGTTCTTATGTTGTGATTTTACACAAGCACGCCACATTCTGTATGTCAAACTTGTTTGTTTGATTTATTTATCCAATTTTAGTTCTATTAGTTACCCAAGAAGAAAAAGGGGGGAATGTTGCTTCGGTTTGGAAGTATAAATTGTGAATTACTTTATTGGAAGGATTTATAATGTTATGTATATGTATGGTCGTATGTGTATTAAAGTAAGGTCGTGAGAGTTGTGTCTCTTTGTGTAATGATGTAATTTGTCATGTGTTGTACTCTGTCTCTCCTGAATAAACGTGCCATGGCAATAGATGTGTTTGTGTTGCTCTCAAGCAAATATAAGTTTAGCGGCATGGGGAGGCAAGTATACATGTCCCACATGTACATAATGAAAATATTTGAAGGACAATACATAGATGTAAATGTTTCCTCTTCACATAATGTTTTAAATACTAGTACTCTTTATTCCAATATATTTACAGTAGCTTCTTTTTAACAATACAAATGCCGATTTTATGTTGACTGAAAGACAAATCATTTGATACCGTCATATGTTTTCATTTCGTATGAAAACGACCCATGCCCTATGAAAACAATCCAAGACTTATTTTATAAGTTTTGTCCAACTACATGTAGTTAATCAACACTTTTTTGGTCTTGAATTCTTTTGACAGCGACAGACATGCTAATTTTTAACCTTTTTCAGCTAGACCAAATCACTACTTTACTTTAAAATTCATGACCCAATTTTTTTACAGTCTAATTTCATCCTCCTACTTGCTATTTGAGGCATTACACATGGAGAAATAAAGGAAGGGGTATGCAAAACAAATTGCAAGTCATACACTTTCCACACTAGGGACTATGTGTTCCTGGACCAGCTAGTATGCAATATTGTATTGATTGAACTGTTGAAGGAGTTCCTCATCTGCTTCTAAATAACTTAATTAATTATTGCAACCAAAGTACAAATGTTTCCAGCTTGCTAAAGATTTCGATATACTTTGTAACTGCATTAATATATGAGGGTCCTTAATTTCTTAATGTTAAGTGCATTTGTTTTTATCTTTAAGGAATGACTGTAATACTTTTTCTGTCTATGAAGAAATAACATCAAAAATGTGTGCACACTGAATAACCCGCGTAGCGGATTATTTAAAAGTGTGCACCACATTTTTTAGGTTATTTCGAATAGACAGAAAACATATTACAGTCATTCCTTATAATTTAATTCTAAATTCCATTTTTAAGGAGTAAATTTTGAAAAAAACGTTGGTGACGTCACGGTCACATGACAAAATCATGTCTATGAGCTGATAGACAAAACACTTTCAGCCAATCAGAAGACGTGTTACATCCAAAATTAAATTATTTAAAAATAACGCTAATTATGTAAAGTTGTCTTTACTATTTCATTTTTCTGCAATTAGGTGATTTCTTATTTCTGTACATCGTTCATTTCTGTAATCACAAGTCTCTAATTTTTGACATTTATTCTTTATACATTTGCTTTCATTATATTTGGATGCCTTTTTATTTATTAGTATTTGAATGAAACTGCATTAAGGATGTTCGCTCCTCTTGTTTTTGAATTTTTGCCAGATATTCGGAATCCTCTGGTTTTATCCATGTAGTGCCATTAAAAATTTTGCCCACTAACCCCTACATTTCTTTCCATAATTTGATTGCATATAGTTTAAAATGTCATCTTTGAAAATATTATTAAATCCTTGTTATTTTTTCATTGTTTTTGAAAGACAAAAGGTGTCAATGTTAAATGTATGAGAAGTCTAGAGAGAATCATTTCCCGCCAGATTTTCAATGGCTTATATCTCGAAAACAAGCACACGGACCCATCATTTTTTTCTGCTTTTTTAGTTACTTTATTTATATACTATCAATTTATAACAGTCTTTTATAAAGCTTGTTATTTTGAAACAGAGTAGCAAACATCCTTAAATTTATATCATGACAGTCATTTCAAGAGCGTTTCAGAGCTCGTGTTTCATTTATTATAATTGTGTACATATATGCCGACTGTGAATAAAAGTAACTTGCTAACTTACCCAATTATTCTCTTTTTTTAATTTTTTTAGTCATTATTCTCTATTATGAAACCCTAACCAGACCCGCACTTAATCCTTTTGCGTTAGGCAGAATATGTTGGTGTAAATAAGATACCCATAAGAAGGCATTGCACCCAAAAAGAACAAAAGCCGTCTTGGGTGTATCTTATACGTACTACTGATATATTATTTACAAAACAAGAAAACACATCGTACAGAAAACTTAAATAGTAATTGTCTGCATACTGACTTAAAGAAAGTATCATTACTGTAAGAATTGGTTTCTCCCATCATTAGAAAACTATTCATGTAGAAAAATAACATTTACGTAAACATTCAGCAACATGTCTGGAATGTGTCAATCATAAATTGGTCCAATATGACAATCATTGAAGGACACTTTCCTGATAATGCATGAACATACATTTGGCAAAGTGTAAATCACAGTGTTTCAGTAAATAAAATATACATCCACTTCATTTTAACCTTGGTGCACGTTGATAGTTGTCTCATTTGAAATCATACAATATCTTCTTATTTTAATATACCATAAACAAGTGTGAAGCATGAAATTCCAATAACATGCTTTAAAATTGACATATTAACTATTGGTGTGAAAAGTGTCTGATTATACATAGAAATAAATTTGGCGAAACGTAAATCAGACTTTTTCAGTAAATAAAATATACATACCATAAACAATTGTGAAGTATGAAATACCAATAACAAGCTTTACAATTGACATATTAACTATTGTTGTAAATAATGTCACATAGTACAGTTAACTAAAGCACCTGTTGTGTGGTGATAAGAAACTTGTATTATATCAGTTATTAGTATCATTATTTACGTAAATGGTCGCACGATTTATTTTGGATCTTTGTAATGTGTTTTCATGAATTTCAATATGAAAAAAGGATGACATGTGTGTGAAGTATTTGTTGGTGTGGCAGCGACCTATTAACACACAAAATCATATACAATACAATAAACGATCTTCAACAACAAAAGGCCGATCTTTAGGACTTTCTAGAAACTCACTTTCGAAAGCCCGAATCTGATTTTAAAATTACAATTGAATACGAAATAATTTCTTTTTTGGGAAGTATAGTGGTGTAAATACTGGTCCCTGCAGTGCATAGCAATTGTGAGAAAAAAAAATAGATTTTAATTTACAAACTTATCCAGCTTTGTAATGGAGTTTAATTACTTGTATGTTGGAAGACAAAAGACGATTCGCTTACTCCAAGAATATCAATATTGTACGATTGCATCTCCTTTACTACGTGTTCGTACGTTCCATGCTCCTATCTTTATAAGTTCTTTCGGCCCCAGAAGTTTGCTTGTCCTGTCTTTATCTTCTGAAAGCTTTCACTAACAGCATTCATGCTGTTGCCTTGACAACCTGCATCCACTGGTATACCGTTGCAATTGATAATGTTTAGTGGTCTGGTTACCGTAACTGCAGAGCTTTTTATGAGACGAGATAGTTAGTCTTGTGCTCAACTGGGCATACAGATACATAATAAAATGATATGATTCAAATCAAGATACTTCTAAGATAACTATATATGTTCTGTCTTTCGATCGTTTTTCGTTATGTTTTTGCCTTTGCATTGCCAATTTGTTTCCGACTTATGAGTTTGTATGACGTCAGCGCTCAAATGATAACAGAAATAACATGTGAACATATATTTAGGAATGGATTTATTTCTTATTTCATAATGAATTTGTATAACATTTGAAAGTATATATTAAATAGTTCTGTCTATTATTAAAGACCCATTAAAACAACTTTCCCAATTAATTAATGATTAGTAGCTTTGACATAACTGACTTCAGTAATATTTTTTTGTCGTTTATCGGCATAGAGTGGACATTAAAGCAGAAAATGATATTCATCTCCAATTTTTAGATAAATTAATGTATAATGCGGGCATAATCTATGGATGGAGGTTGTTCTTTTAATTAAATCAGATACATCAGATGCCACTTCTGCTGTCTTCATTGTAGTACAAGACTTGTATACATGTATATAGGCTTCAGTTCCTTATACTCATTATTATCTATAAAACTTTGCTTTAATAAAATTTCAACTTGTTGTACTTGTTTATGTAAAATCGAAGGTACAGGTACAGATATTCTCACTGCCTGTGTTGCCAGTTCGAGATGTACGTACACTCTTGCTATCAGGCGATAGGACTGCCGCCTGCTCACACTGAGTTGTGTCATGATCTTCAATCCGTGTCCACAGGTGGATTTTTCCAATTTTCTTGCAAACTTTTCTCTGTCGTCTTCATGACAACCTTTTGATGATGACTTGCAAACACTGCACGGTAACGATTCATCGAAATGCGATGTTTACATACACTAACCGTGATCATCGAGTTTTTTTTTCGAACAATATTTGAATAGATCCTGCATCCTAATTACAGACATATACTATATATCATTATAAAGCATACATGTAAATAGTGCATGGTGCGGTGTGCATGGTAAATTTTTTTGTCCATTTTAAGCTTTTTTTTTGGTAATCAGTTCATTCGTAAATAGTTATCAAAGGTACCAGGCGTATAATTCGATACGCCAGACGCGCGTTTCGTCTACATAAGACTCATCAGTGACGCTCATATCAAAATAGTTAGAAAGCCAAACAAGTATTAAGTTGAAATGCATTGAGTACCCGAAATTCCAAAAAAGTTGTGCCAAATACGGCTAAGGTAATCTATGCCGGAGATTATTAGTTACATAGTGTGTTAGTGACCTAATACGATATATACGGGGTCAGTAAATTCCATATGGGGTGAGAGCGGAGCTCGAACCCCATATGAAATTTACTGACCCCGTATATATCGTATTAGGTCACTAGCACACTATGTAACGAATTTATCTTACCTACTATCTTTATTTGTTGAATTTAGACTAGAGTTGTCTCATTTGCAATCATACCACGTCTATGGCAAGCCGTTGTGGAATTTATTCCCTATTTATTAATATTAAAAAATCATTTATTAATATTAAAAAATGATTTTTTAATATTACAAAATCATTTTTTAATATTAATAAATCGAATTTTTAATATTAAAAAATACTGTCATTTTTTAATATTAATTAATGAATATTTAATATTAAAAAATCATTTATTAATATTAAAAAATCATTTTTTAATATTAAATATTCAGTCTGATTTTTTAATATTAATAAATGAATTTTTAATATTAAATAATACGCTGATTTTTTAATATTAAAAAATCAACATCAATGTTACCTTAGCGTTTAATATAAGGCAAACCAATCATTTATCTGTCAAACGCTTAAATGATGATTATTGGACAAGTCGGTCCGGAGAAATTTTGGACCGACTATGTTAAGTCAACTCGGACCATCTTATATCGACCCAGACAAGTAATTAAGGAAAGTTCGAACTATTTAATGATTATAAACCATTAAATATTGAATTTTGAATTAAATTTTCTTTTAAAATCGTGCATTAAATTTGCCAAAATAATTTCAAATTATAATTTGATCCATGTGAATGGACTCAATCCTACGGAAGCGTATTATGAACAAAACAAATTAGCATTGACCAATATTTGGCAAACATATAGACTAAGCAACTCTTTCGTATGGCAAGCCGTTGTGGAATTTATTCAGTGTACCACTCTGAATGTAAATTTTTTACTCTTCTGGTGATAGCCACGTGGTTAAATATTCTGCATTGCCCCTA